AAAAGTGCAAGAGACAACAATCGGAGGAAAACATGTTGGCGCCGCCGCGCCAGTTCCAGCCTCCTGACAGGCCCCAGCATCCAAATCGAACAAGACGTTGTATGTGTAATGTTGATAAGTTGATGTAAATTGTAAATAAACTGTTACCGCTTATACTGATTGATATACGGTCGAAATAAGGAATTTATCAGTCAAGGGTTTACTGGTATGTACCATAGTGCACCATACAAATCAATACCATTCAATGTATTCATCTTCGCAACTCGGTTTTCTCCAGAATCGCCTCTTTGAACAGTGATAGACACGTGGAAAGTGAGACGGTGTCCTAAAAACAACATCGCCGTGAGGTTCATGGTCTAGATACGTAAACTGACGTAAATTCGCCTTGGAAGGGGCCTTTTAACTTCGTTGGTTCCTTTTGACAACGCGGTGAGACCTGTAGACTCATGTAAAGTAGGAACGACCTCTGGCTAATTGACAGTTTTTAGAGAATTTGCAAGTCTCTACTGGAGGAATCCCCAGTGATCGATGTAAACCAGCGAAATGCCCCTCCCAAGCCGATATGCGTCAAAGCATCTCAAAGTTCAAATAAAAGTCTAGGCATCAATCGCAAGAAATGCGAAAGAGGTTAGACAAACGTCGACTGACTGCGTTCAAGAGGAAGATCACCATTCGAAAAAATGTTAAGTTTTCTTGCAGCGAGTTCCCAATTTTTCCAATCAATATCTATTCTTCTTTTCGAGAACTCTCCAATTCTCTGGGTCATCTGATTTTGCGGTTCTCCGTAACACAATGTATGAACGTGGCGCAACATTAATCATCGGCCTCGCTTCAAAAGTATAGCCGCTGCCGGTGCTAGATGCGTTGGGAGGAATTGTTTTGGCGCCCGTAGCGCCAGGCCTGTTTCTCCATCAATGTTGCTTGCCTGTTGCCAACCTGGATGGAGACAGAGCTGGCGCTGCACTTAAAAAGGGCCCTAACTAACACCAGCATCGGCAAGATGATACAGAGTTCCGCTTGGACCATGCTAACGCTGGAACCTGTCGTATGGATCGTCCGCTTAGGCCTAGAGCCAGTGTAGCTAATTCCATAAGTTCACGCGCAGGGGAACTCTCTAGTTCGAGGGAATTGACCTCTCTGATCGACGGCAGTTGTTGATCAGAGACAACAAGTCCAATCTAGAAATTCAATAAAGCAATCCGTTAAAAACAAGCCTGTAGGGAACAATTGTAAGAAACTACGCGGAAAGCCTTACCCTCATGAGCTCTCCAACACATTTTGCTAAAACAGTGTACAGAGCGTTTGCAGATGGTTGTCCTACATGACGAACGACATCGGCTCGATCCAGCAGCGCTCGATCAAGACAACCCTCCATATTTGATGTGCAAAGGACGATCACATTTGGTCTCCTGGGTCATACTATAGAGTAAGGTTAAGTGCTAACGAATAATAAGTTGAGCTACCGCCTGATCCTGTCAATCTGAGTGAGTAAAGCATTAACGGCACGAATGGAATCAGCTGGATCACCACGACTGGTTGATGCATCGCGTGACATTCCAAGGGATTCGATCTTAAGAAGAAAGTCTTGGGTGTCGGAGAGAAAGCCTTCGAACTCAACTGAATTACCTCATCTATGAGCACAAATACCATACATCTAGCATCTTCAGCTAATTCGTCGATTTGGTCGAACATTTTCAACACAAGTTTGCCACTCTGTAAATCACTTTTGATTACTTCCAGATACTAACGTCTAACGCTGTTAATCAATCCCTTTTTGGGTTACGACACGCACTCTGCTGCCGTTCAGAATCGTAGTGCCCTCATTGAAAGCGACGTGGCCTATACAATAAATTGAAGGGCAGCCGATGTAGGCAGTGTTCTTGACGAATCTGGTACCAGCATACAACATCAGGATACCTTCGGAGGGTAGAAGGGCCTGGTTTGTCTGGGAAGGGACCGTTCTGGACTTGGGTCACCGACCCCTTGCGGTCACTTGCCACTACCGCCAAGCCGTCCTCGAGAAGTTCCAGATACTAAGATGCCTATATCCTAACAAGGGAATGGTTTGAACTTCCCATGGAACTTTGAATGGAGACCTAGGTACATCGATAGAGCCTCGAATGCTGATTACGAATATGCAGATTAAAAGTGCTACGGGGACCTCCCAGACGAGATCTGGGTGGTCAAAGTTTGAGTTCTGGCTCGTAAGCGCTGCTGATCGATGCCTCGGCAGTGCCCACACGGTGACGTGTGGTATGTCTTGCTTTCAAGTCAGACGCATGCGGGTTTTGCAATCCGTTGCGCGAAAAATTATTGCTTCAGCTGTTCGTAATAAAGCTTCAACTCTAATTTTCCGAAAAATTTTAACGAAAATATAACGAGAAGCCTCAGCAGTTTAAGCACATCAAGTAAAGAAGTGTACGAGCATATCTCGACCTACGTATGTAATTTGGCTCATAAACTGCCTCTCTGAACGGTTTACCCGTCCGAGCAATTCAAGTTGTTTAGCGAGAAACTTCGTTCATGGGACGATTCGACCGCCCTGAACACGAAAACATCTTCCTTCACGAAAAAACAGAACGTTTGGCCAAATTGCGATTCTGGCAAAACTTTGAATTGTCGGATGGTAATATGTTCAGAGAGGGCAGATATGACCAAATCCATACTAGATCGAGTACGTCGTATACTTGATGTACTTGATCTACTTGCCCTGCTGGGCCGTAAATTCGGAAGAATTTCGAAAATTAGAGTTGAAGCTCTTATACGGAGCGAAGCAAAAACTTTCGCGCCAACCGGATGCAAACCCGCGTGCGTTTGACTTGGAAAGCGAGACCATTACCACGAGGCCACGGTGGCACTGCCGAGGCAATCGATCAGCAGCGCTTACGAGCCAGAACCTCAACTTTGGAACACCAGATCTCGTCTGGAGGTCCCCGTAGCACTTTTAATCTGCATATTCGTAATCAGCATTCGAGGCTCTATCGATGTACCTAGGTCTCCATTCAAAGTTCCATGGGAAGTTCAAACCATTCCCTTGTAAGTT